ATTCTTGGCTCCTGGGCAATACAAAAATAGGCTGCATGAAGGACCTGACCTGGCTGGCTGGGGCACAGTCTGTGCACTCCTAGTTTACAGAGAAGTAGAAACTGGGGCAGGCACCTTGGTTCAGCAATGAAGGCACCACTTGGGATGCCCCAGGGTTCAGGCCTGGCCCTGCTTCAGGTTCCAGGATCCAGCTTAGGTGTGCCCTGGGTGGCAGCAATGACAGCTCCAGAGCCTGGCTCCCTACCATCCCGTGGGAGGCCCAAAGTGGGGTCTGCTCCGCTGGCTTCAGTCTAGTTTAGCCCTGGCTGTTAAGGACATTTGGAGAATGAAATAATAGATGGACTATTTCTGTCTTTCAAATAAGTACTAATAAATAAGATTTTTAAAAAAGAGAAGTAATCTGATCGGCACACATTCAGGAATGCGGAACAGATCGGACTGGCTGATGAACTGGTTCTGTGTGGGGAGCGGGAAGAGAAAGAGGGAACAAAGATGTTAGGGACTGGGTGGAAGGCAGAACTGTTTCCTGTGATGGGAAAGCAGCAATCTGGAAGTGGGGAGAAAAAGGGAAATCAAGAGTTAAGTATGAGTTACCCATTAGTCATTGAAGTGGAGATGTGCCCTAAATTGTAGCATAGTGATAATGTATTCAACCTAAACCTGGGATGCTAGCATCCCATATGAGCCAGTTCAAGTCCCAGCTACTCCACATGCGATCCAGCTTCTTGCTAAAGTGCCTGGGAAAGCAGCAGAAGATGGCCCAACTACTCAGGCCCCAGCCACACATGTGAGTGAACCAGATGGAGTCTGTGGCTCCTGGCTTTGGCCTACTCCAGACCTGTCTGAAGAGCAGCTATTTGGAGAATGAACCAGTAATTGAAGAATCCCGCCCCCTCTTTCTGTCACCACACTGTAGAAGGACATTGTGATTCTAGAAGGACAGTGAACACTACACCTTTCAAATAAATACATCTTAGAAGTGGCTGGGTCTGCCAGGGAGCTTGGGGCAGGTTGGGGCTGCACAGCACAGCTGGGAGTGTTTTGCCTATGGTTGCATTTGCAATACTGGGATTGGATAACATGACTTGGTCCCTGACCAAATCCTGGGAGAATCCAACATCTATGGGATCCATTGAGGAGGTCCTTGGACCCATCTCTAGGTCAGCGTAGGTAGGACACATGACCAAGACTTCTAAGTCTAAGCCATGTAAATACACAAACGAGTATGTGGGAACATCAGGTCAGGAATTCTAAATGGCCTCATGTCACACTGCAGAACTGGGCATCTTGCAGGGGGCCTTGGGAGAGGGTGGAGGGACTCCTGGTCCCAGAATCTCCCAGCCAGTTTGTGACAAAGACCAACTTCACCATCCAGGACTGGCTGAAGTGGGAGTGTTTTTAATATGCTACCTCTGGCAAAAGGAAAAGCAGAGGCACGTGTGACTTGGGGACAGGCTGCTGCGGGGGTGTGTCCTCTCTTAGTGGGCCAGGCAGGGCAGTTTCAGGACTGAGCCACACAGGCAGAGGTGCTTACTCCACTTGTGGGACTCGTTTCCTCACTCTCCAAATCCCAAGGGAAGCCTTTCTCCCACATGGATATAACATGGTCATTTTTTTTTTTTAAATACAGGTGCAGACTCAGTATTCTGGTTCCAGGAGACTCCATCCTGCTCTCCCATTCCCCAGCGGAGAGCGAAGAATTGTGGGTAGTTTGTTTTTCTATGTTTGCCCAAGGAAACCAGAATGCATTTTTTTTCAATTAATAAAAAAAACCAAACAAACAGGACGGGCACTGTGGTGTAGTATATCAGATATACTAGATACCTGATCATAGAATGTAGTTCCAGATGTGTTGCTTCCAATCCAGTTCCTGCTAAGTATGCCTGCGAGAGCAACAAAAGCTGGCTCAGTGTTACCCTGTGGCCATTTGGGGGTGTGAACTCCATTCACAAATTCTATTAAGCCAGTTTACTAGAATCTCTGCTTATGTCGGATCTTTTCTAAAGTTATTTCTTTATTTGGAAGATAGAGTTACAGACAGAAAATGAGGGACACAGAGAGAGACATCTTCTATCTACTGGTTCATATCCTAGATGAGTGCAATGGCTAGGTTAGAAGTTAGGTGCTTCTTCTGAGTTTTCCATGTAGGTGGCAAGGTCCCAAGGATTCACACCACCTTGCATTGCTCTCTCAGGTGCATTAGCAGGGAGCAGAGCATCCTTGAACTAACACTCTGATATGTCATCAGCAGCTTCTTGTGCTGTGTCACAATGTCAGCTCCACCCCCAGTATTTCTTCCTCATAGTTTTCTATCCATTGAGCCTTACCCCGATCCTTGCTGTAGATTCCTATTTTTCCATGGGTTTGGAGTTGAGCTGGATCTCGCCCCCCCCCCCCACACACCCCGTTCTACTCTCTCTGGGTTGTAGCAGTGCTTGGATATCCATCTTCACAGTCCCAATCCAATCAAGAAAAGATGCTTCACTTTTTTTTTTTAAACAAGTGTCAAGTGTCTCTTTCTCCCTGTTCTTTTGAGAGGGAACCCACCTCCTGGCTTTCTTTCTGGAGGTACTTTCCCCGTTCTTCTCCCTTCCGTGCTCACCTGGTCCCTTCACAAATAAAATTTTTCTGTCTGAAAAAACAAACAAGTGTCATGGGTACTTCTCTTCTTCAATAGACCAAAGTTCTAGAACCCAGCAGAACCTAAGTTTCCTCATCTGCATAATAAGCAGATCTGCTCAGACTATTCCACAGGGTGTGTGAAATTATCAAATGAGATCACTGTGATACATAAAAACACTTTTTTAAAATTTTAATTTAGGGCTTGGCGCAGTAACCTAGTGGCTAAAGTTCTTGCCTTGAACGCGCCAGGATCCCATATTAGTGCCGGATCTAATCCTGGTGGCCCCGCTTCCCATTCAGCTCCCTGCTTGTGGCCTGGGAAAGCAGTCAAGGACGGCCCAAAGACCTGGGACCCTACACCAGTGTGGGATACCCAGAGGAGGCTCCTGACTCCTGGCTTCGGATCAGCGCAGCTCTGGTCATTGAATGCTGCTTAGGAAGTAAATCAACTGATGGAAGATCTTCCTCTCTGTCTCTCCTCCTCTCTGTCTGAGTTTGCAATAAAAACAAATCTTTACAAAGAGGAATAGAAACACATAAGTTGGTGAAGCTCACTAAACATACATTTAAAAAATTAAAATATGGTGTCTTTCCCTCCTACTTTTGAGAGGGACCCCACCTCCCAGCTTTCTCTTGGCAGGTGCTTTCCCCTTCCTTCTCCCTTCCCTGCTCACCTAGTCCCTTCGCAAATAAACTTTTCTGTCTGCAAAAACAAATAAACAAACAAAAAAGGTAGAGTCAGAGAGATACACAGCAAAAAGCTTCCCACTGGCTGGTTTATTCCTCAATTGCTGGTAATAGAAGCTGGGACTGGGCAGGGCCAAAGCCAAGAACTCAATCACGTGGGAGCAGAGACCCCAACACTTGAGTTATCACCTAGGGTCTCCCCGGGCGCACATCAGCATGAAGGCTGGAAGCAGCAGTAGGAGAGAGGCAAAGACTCCATCCCAGGCCCTCTCCCACGGGAGGAGGTGTCCCGAGTGGCATTTCAGCCACTGGATCAAAGCACATAGTCTACAAGGAAATGAAGACAGAAATGTAAAGAAAACAAGCACAGGTACGTTATGTGCTAGCTACCTGGGGACAGTCAACAGGGGCTCACGCTTGAAGGCCACCAGGAACGGGATAACCGTGCCCAGTGCCTGGGCAGGCAGAGGCCGATGCAAATGATCATGATGTCCCTGATTGACTAAGAACTTGAACAGACCAGGTATAAAACAAACGAAATAGTCCAAGGTGGACAATCTCGTGAAATAATCATTGGATGACCTTTGCCAAATGTTAAAATATTGAACGATTCTTTTATGTGTTTTGTTTATTGGACTTCAGTTTTAGGAAAAGAACTAAATGGATTTAGGCCCATGGAGATTGTTCAATTGGCTAATCCTCCCCTCACAAGCGCTGGGATCCCATACAGGTGCCAGTTTGTGTCCTGGATGCTGCTCTTCCCTTCCAGCTCCCTGCCTGTGGTCTGGGAAAGCAGTCGAGGACAGTCCAAGGCCTTGGGACCCTGCACCCACGTGGGAGACCCAGAAGAGGCCCCTGGCTCCAGGCTTTGGATCAGCTCAGCTCCAGCTGTGGCGACTACTTGGAGAGTAAACCAGTGGATGCAAGCTCTTTCTATCTTTCCTGTTTTCTGTAGATCTGACTTTCCAGTAAAAACAAATCTTAAGAAAAAAAAAAGACCGGTATCATGTTTAAAAAAAAAAAAAACTAAAAAGAATTTAATATATATATATAAAGCAGTCATTTAAATTATAAGGGCAAACAATCCAACTTCTGGACATTTCTTAGAGGCTCAAATTGTCAATGTAGATGGAGGTTCTAAACACAAGTTGTTCTTATTTAACTTCATATATTTTTTCAGCCATATATATATATACACATAAACATATATATATATATATATCTGAAATGCAGAATTAGAGAGGCAAAGGCAGAGAGGTCTTCCATCCACTGGTCCACTCCCCAGATGACTGCAACAGCCAGGGCTGAAGCCAGGAGCTTCTTTATGGGTGCACGGACACAAACACTTGGACCACCTCCCACTGCTCTCCCAGATGCAGCAGCAGGGAGCTGGAGTGGAAGTGGAGCAGCCAGGACTCTGACATGGGATGCCAGTGCTGCCACACTTAGCACGCTATGAAACAGTGCTGGCCCCAACTCTGCATGTTTTTAATACCATCCCATTGATGATTTGTTGAATTAACAATCTTTATATGTATGCATACTATGATGCCTGGCACATGGTAGGTAAATCAATATTTGTTGAATGAATGAATGAATGAATGCCCTGTGAATTTGCTTACAAGAAATAGGTTCTTAAAGGTATTTGTGTATTTAAAACATAAATACTCGTCTTTCTTGGAAACACTCACCAGGTAAAGCTGTATGATGTTCAGGTCTCAGATTGGCCCCAAATCTGGTAATTGTTCTATTTTATTTATATTTCCTACGAAAGGCAGAGTCAGAGTTGTTCCAGCCATGGATTCACTCTCCAAATGGTGGCAAAAGCCAGGAGCAGGCTCCATCTAACTCTCTGACCTGCAGCCCAATTACCTGCAGTCTACCAGCAAGCTGCGGTCAAGCCGATGTCTGCTGAGCGCTTCCCCAGCACCTAGACCGCCGTGCTGTTTTCCTCCATTTAAACACATTTCTCAACTCTACTTTGAACATAATCTAGCACAGCTGAAGGTCAATGCTTGCTAAATAATGCACCTTCGAGAGGCCAAACAGTTCAGCCAAGTGGCAGCTCAGGGCCGGCTGTCCCGGCTCACGACCACCGGGTCACTTCCACACTGTCCTCTCAAGCACTGGCCCACATTCCTAACTGGACATTCTCCTCAGCCGTTCCACGTCCCGGCTGTCCCGCGGCCTTCAGGTGCCTCGGCCTCCGCCCCGCGCGCCTTGGCAACGGAGGAGGCGGGCCCCACGGAGGGCCTTGTGGCCATTCCTTATTGGGGTTTGGTTGCTATGGTGTCACCGCCCTCACTACTCAGAGGTACAGCTTCCGGGAGGTTAAAGGAGAATCACTTCCAGGGCCGCCCAAACTTGCCATGGCCGACTCAGTTACCACTGAACTAACAAAATCGCCAGGCTTCAAAATGGCGCCGACGGCCACGGAGGCGGGGGAGGTCAGAGGTGAGTCACGTGGGCCCTCCCGGTTCCGGCGCTGCGGAGGCCCGGAATCGAGAACGAGTGTCCCGACACCATGTCTGGTTTGTCTGGCCCACGAGCCCAGCGTGGCCCCTGCCCGGTGGCGTTGCTGTTTCTGTTCCTGCTCGGCCCCAGCTCAGTCCTCGCCATCTCCTTCCATCTGCCGGTGAACTCTCGCAAGTGTCTCCGCGAGGAGATCCACAAGGACCTGCTGGTGACGGGCGCCTATGAGATCACCGACCAGTCTGCGGGCGCTGTCGACTTGCGCACCCACCTCAAGGTGCGGCCCGGGGTTGGAGGATCGTGGGCGATGACCAGGGAAAGCATAAGACGGGCGGAGGCCAAGGGGGTCGGCCCTTGGCGCGGAAGACTCGCGATGGACACTGCCCTCCCACCCCGGGTTGGCGTGGGCGGGGCGCGTCCGGGAACCCTTAGAAGGGCCTGGGAGGATGTGCTGACCCCTGAGCCAGGGCCCCTGGAGTTTGGGATATAGTGAAACTCCGGTTGTGTTTGGTCCCAGGATACCTCGAGCTGAGACTAGGTTAGAGTTTGCAGGAGAATAAGTGGAGGCAGTCAAGTTTCTTGCGATGAATTGAGCACCTGCAGTGTCCGTGGCTGCGCTACTTATACACGTGGTCACTTTTGTTCGTATTCTACCCCGTGAAGTAGGTCGGTGCTATTGGCCCCATTTTACAAATGAGAAAACTGAGGTTCTGAGAGGTCATCTCGTGTCAGATGGACATGAAGATTCTTAGTTGGGTTGTTAGAGGTGTCGACGGAAAAATGCTGAGATCTTGGTCAGAGTAGTCTCTGACTTAGTCAGACTTAGGACTTGGCAAAGTCTCAGCCATAACAGCTACTTCCGTGGTGCCATTTGGTCCCATTTTGCAGTTAGGAGTGACCTGCCTGATGTTTTCATCAGGAGCATAATTGATGTTAGGATTTTCTTGAGTTTTAGGTAGTTGTATACACTCACAAACAGCACACGGTGGCCTGTTTTTTTTTTTTTTTTTTTTCAACAGAATGGGACTTTGCTTAGACTACACAGGAAGAAACATTTTTTTCTTAAAAGAACTTCAGATATGGCAGGGCTGCCATTTATGTTTAAGGTGTTGGACAGTAGGGATGTAATTTATTTCCACTGTATTGGGAGGTGTGAACTGTCTTCAGAAGACTGCACTGGGAGCCTTCCTTTTACTGTTCTCTCTGGGCACCAGACTTCTGTCCACACAAGAAAGCCATGATGTCATAATTTTAATGTTGGTTGATGGAAGGTTTTGGGGTTCATGGTTCTGGATCTTTGTGTAATTTTCAGAAGCAATTTAAACAATGAAGAGGCTTTGTTCTGGTCTACAAGGTTGTGGTCTCTGGTTTTTTTTTTAATTTTTTTTTTTAACTTATTTTTGTTGAAAAGTCAGATTTAAAGAGAGGAGGAGAGACAGGAGAAAGATCTTCCATCAACTGGTTCATTCTTCAATGAGCCACAACAGCTTGAGCTGAGTGTATCCAAAATCAGAAGCCAAGGGCTTCTTCTATGTCTCCCAGGTAGTTACAGAGTCCCATGGCTTTGGATCATCCTCCAGTATTTTCTCAAACCGCAAGCAAGAAGCTGGATGGAAAGTGGAGCAGCCAGGACACGAACCGCATCCATCTGGGGTTCTGGCACTTACAAGGGAGGATTAACCAATTGAGCCATCATGCTGGGCCCCCTGATTTGGTCTTTTTTTATTTTTATTTATTGTTAGACAAAGAGCTCCGATGCAGTGACTCACCTCCCTCCCCGTCCCAGTCCCGTCAGTGAGGGGTAGGGTGAGGTGGAGGGACCTGTATGGGCAGGAGCCACATCAACCCAATCTAATCATCAGCCAGCCCTCCCTGCCGCCCGCCAGGGTCTGCGCGAGCAGATAGCGGGGGTCAGGAGCTGGAGCAGGGTGTCCAGCTCAGGTTCTGTAATGAAGGACACTTGCCACCTAACGGCTGTGTGAAACACCTGCTCCTGTTTTTATACTTACAAACCCATCTGGCTCACTGTTACTCATGTGATGGCTTAAATTTCCCAGAATGCTCTGCAGTGCTCCTAAGGATCGTGTTTAAGCTGTGTATCTTCTCACCTCCCAGTTTGTATTCTATTTAGAGCTACCACGAACAGTGCCCTTAAACTCACTTGTTTTCCAGCTTGTCTTGGAGCTTCTTTTTTGTTTCTGTTTTTATTTGAAAGGCAGATTTTTACAGAGAGAGGAGGGACAGATCTTCCATCCTCTGTTTCACTCCCCAAATGGCCTCAATGGCCAGACCTGAGCCAATCCGAAGGTGGGAGCCAGGGGCCTCCTTCAGGTCTTCCTTGTAGGTGCAGGATCCCAAGGTCTTGGGCCATCCTCTGCTGCTGTGGTCACTCTTGCCACACCTGATTTTTCAGAAATCCGTATTGTTTATGTGAAAGTTTAAATGTTACCAGCCACTTCAAATTAGCTTGGGCGTGGGTTTATTTTTACTGTTACAGAGAATACTGTGTGAGTAAAGTGGGTCTACCTCTACCCCCATTACCCAGATTTAGCTGATATATCCTTTTTTTTTTTTTTAAGATATGCCTATATTTTTGGAAAGTCAGATATGCAGAGAGGGAGCTCTTCCATCCACTGATTGGCTCTTTGCAGCCAAAGCTGCACCAATCCGAAACCAGGAGCCCAGAGCCTCTTCTGGGTCTCCCACGCGGGTACAGGGTCCCAAGGCTTTGGGCTGTCCTGACTGCTTTTCCAGGCCACAAGCAGGAAACAGGATGGGAAGTGGGACAGCCAGGATTAGAACTGGTTGTCCATATGGGATCCTGGCATGTGCAAGGTAAGGACTTTAGCCACTAGGCTACTACACCAGGTCCGAGCCAGTAGATTCTTGCCAAACTTGTTTCATCTTAACTGTCTTCCTTTATCATTTTAAGCTAATTTTTAAAAGATTGATTTATTTTAAGGCAGAACAAGGGAGAAAGAGATTTTTCATGTGCTGATTAATTCCATGGTGGTTCCTGGGCCAGGAGCTCTGGCCAAGTCTCCCATGTGGGTGACAGGGCCTCAGATACTTAGCCTGTTGTCTGCTGCCTTCCCAAGTCCATTCATGGGGCGTTAGTTCAGCAACGCAGTAACTGGAAATTGGGCATTTCAGGTTGGGCCATAACCTGCTGCACCACATTGTATACCCTGCCAAACTGTTTTAAGTAAACCACAGATGTTATATTTCACTATAGCATACTTCAGCATGAATCTCTTAAATATATATGTATGAGTATAGCCACAATGTTATGTTATAGTTTAATTATTCCTCAAAACCAACACTAATTCTTTAATGCCATAAAATTCCCAGTTCATATTCCAATTTCCCCTCTGGTCTTAAAAATACATATTTAAAATTAGGTTTTAAGAGTTGGCACAGTGGCTCCCAACTGGCTAATCTGCCACCTCCGAGTGCCAGCATCCTGTGTGGGCGCCAGTTTCTATCCCACTGCCCTGCTTCCCGTCCACCTCCCTGCTTGTGGCCTGGCAAAGCAGTGGAGGATGGCCCAAAGCCTTGGGACCCTGCACCCATAAGAAGCTCTTGGCTCGTGAATTTCAGATAAGAGCCCAGTTCCTGTCATTGTGGCCATCTGGGAGTGAACCAGCAGACAGAAGATCTTTGTTTCTGCTCTGTCTGTAAATCTGCCTTTCCCATGAAAATAAATCTTTTAACAAAGTTACATCTAACTCTCAAGCCTCTTTAAGCAGTCTCCCCCTCCTCCTTTTTATGCGTAGAGTTGTGTATGTGTGTTTGTTTTAAGATTTACTTTATTATTATTTGAAAAGTGGAGTGATAGAAAGAAGAGATCTTTAACCTGCTAGTTTGCTCTGTAGATGACCACAACAGTTGGAACTGGACCAAGCAGAAGCAGCAGCCAGGAGCTCCCTCCTGGGTACAGGGATACAAGTCCTCGGGCCATTTTCCACTGCTTTCTCTGGCATTTAGCAGGAAGCTGTATTGGAAGCTGGCACTCTGATTTGGTGTAATATGTTGAAACTTGATGTAACTTGCTACCACAGTTCTTGAAATCCATTATCCTTTTAAAAAGTTCTGTGTTTTGGATGCGGCTTATACACTTCATTGCCATATCGTTTTTATAAATCATATGTTATAAAGATGTGGTCATATTCAGGGTAATCTTTGTGTCAAGGTCCTACGTGGATGGTGTTGTGGCATCCCAGCAGAAACTCAGACCTTTTGTGCCCTTTACTTCTAACACACCCGTCAGTGGGTGTATTAGTGCCAGTTACCACACACATGGTGGCTAGCTGACCTGTTTCTTCCCAATTCTGGCAGGCGGGACTCCTCCCAGTACGTTTTTGGTTCTTGGCTCATGACTGTGAAAGCCCGTGAGTGGCCAAGTATCCTGGCTCTGACTCGCTCCTTTCCCCCACCTCTCTCTCACTCCTCTCCTTTTCCTTGCGTCAGCGATTTTATCTTGGACTCTCCTGCCACCCCTTTTCCTAAAGGACCCTCGTGCCGAACCCTGCCCATATCTGACCTTGATTCAGTCACCTCTCCACAATCCCGTGGCTGATGGGATGGTTGTCTTTCTGGGAATTGGGATGTGGTGGCATTTTTCTGGCTACCCAGGTGGTACCAGCTTCCCATTAATCTTTCACTTAGGAATCCACTGATGACGACCCTGTGTATTTACTCTTTCATTGAGGTTTTGTAATG